GAGTGCCCACTAATCGTAGGAGGACTGTAGTCTAAGCTTTTTCTCTTCCATAACAAACACGCCTTAGCGGAAGGGCTATAACAATCGATGAACCTCAGCCTTAACAGGGAAACTTGTAGCAACTTAATGATGTATATAATTAAAGAACCACACCCAAAGGCAAACAGAACTAGATTAGTGAGATGGGTCAGGGTCATGGACTGGTAGTGTTTTTGTGTATGTTTGTTACAATGGGGGTTCCATTTTTCCAATATACACTTTGCTGTGAGGAACAACTGCTTCTTATGGTGCATTCACACCAAAGGAAATTCTAGCTAATTTTGTATCTAATTTGTGTGTTGTTAAGATTTTCGCCCGTAACATGCGTGGCGGACTTGGATTTTACTAATCAAATTAAAGTGTTTTATTCATATAGAAAGCTGAACAATGGTGTCCACGCTGACATCCTGAGTCCACCATACCCTCCAAATACTCCTAGTGTGCCTGGCTGGATCACAGTTGCTTCCCATGGTATTTCCGTCTGACCAGGACATGAAGGTGTTATTCCACTTCAGAGGAGGATAATCCAGAATACAGAGGTAAGGGAGCTCAGATATGAGCAACAGGAGATCAGATCAAGAGACACTAGTGCCAGTGATAGGTGATGGGGGGCCTGGACCTACTCTGGAGCTCAGGGAGGACAGTGTAGAGCAAGAGGTCAGGCAGAGAGTGCACCACAGCCAGGATGAAGGGGCGGATGGCTGGGACCAGGTCTGGAGTTAAGGGAGGATAGCAGGAGATTAGAGCAAGAGGCCGGGTAGAGAGCATGCCACAGCTGGCAGCAGAGGAGGTGAGTGGTAGGTACCCGCTCTGGAGCTACACAGGGTGGACAAATGAAGAATAATCAAACAGTCCTTCTAAGGGTACTTCTAAGTTAAAACTGTGATTTTCTTTTAATACCTCCCACAGAACCTCTAAAAGGAAAGTTTGAAAGTTTTGAGACCCACAAATTGAAACAATATCACCCATTTGACTGGTTCAGGTTCAGCAAAAAAAAAAAAAAGCCAACTCCATGACCATCCTACGAAGAATACCATTAAACCAGAACAGATAGAGGATTTTGATATAAACAAAATATTAGAAATTACTATTAAAGAAAAGAAAAAACGGCAATAAAGGCTGTGGGACGGTTTATAGGTGCTGGATAAAGCACTGAGAGAGATCTGTGTAATTTGTCAATTTTTTTTTTTATTCTATTCGAGGAGACTAAGAAGCTGCACATTCCTACACTGTTCCCTCATTTTTGCAAGGCTCAGAGATTATTTTACGCTTTTATCTGTCATCTTAAACTTCTATCTTGGGTAAAGTATTCTGTTTTTAAAAATGTTTCATTGATTGTTTATGTCTGCCCCACCTGCTAAATTTGTGTTGTGCGACTCCACACAACTGCCTGCTTTACCTTAAGATTAAGATTTTGTTTTTTTATACAGCAGATGTGTTTTACTTGGCAACAGTCAGACCCATGAAACCTGTCAGAACAATGAAAATGCTGCTGAATTTGTGTGTAGCCTGACTAAAATAGACCAGGGGTCTATCTCAGTTGGAGCTTCGCAAGACCCCTTGCAGAAAATCGTATCAGGTGTGTTCCCCATTGACTCTCAATGACTGCTAAACACCACAACCTCATACGACACCATCTTCTGCCAGACTGGACGTAAAATTGGATTTGGTGTGTTCGTGGCTTTAAGGTGGAGGTCGGGGTCAGACCATGAATGTGTATGTGCTTGGTTGTGTATCTGTGTTACTCTGTGACAGACTGGCGACCTGTCAAGGGTGTGCCCTGCCTTTCATCCAAGGCTGCCAGAGATAGGCACCTGTCCCGCCTTGACTGATATGAGAAAGAAGATAGATAGATGGAAGGCTGGATAAATGGAAGTCAATGCAAAGCATCTGTAAGTGTAGAAATGCATAACTACTACTTGTTTATGTTACCTATTTAGAAAAGATTTTTGGTATATTTACTAACTTTTTGAGAACCGACAGGGTTAATGGGGACCCGAGGCTGGTCACAATGGGTTGGACCCCCATTTTAAACCTTAAAGAGTCAATAAAAAGGTATGGTGTCAATTAACTTTATATCAAGGTTAGGGTTAGATTAAGTGTCTGGGTTAGGAATAAATAGATTAACTAAAAGGAGTTATGGGGTGGGGGCGTTTTTCCTCAAATTTTGATCCAAAAAAAAAGCAAAATGATCCTTCCTTTAGTTGTGTCTACCACCTGGTGGTAACATAGAGGTCAGATGCTATGAAGCTGAGTAGTATGCAAGGCATGTTCATTTATAGTAGCAATTTTAGGATAGACTGATGAGCGAGCCCTCTCTTTGTTTCTGACAACCAGAAATAATTTATATTGGGTTAAAGTTTTGTTTTGTAAGCAGGAACAGTATAAGAACTAGGGCTGAAACGATTCATCGAGTAACTCGAGTAACTCGATTAAAAAAAATCCTCGAGGAAATTTATCTGCCTCGAAGCTTCGCTAAATTTATTGTATTGTAATAAGCAATGCTGTTAAATACGCAGCACACTGGTCTAGCCGGAGGGTTTTTGTGTTGCACAACGCTACCACTTCCGTTAGCGCCTGGAGCGCTTGTGCTAAGTTTGTAGCTATGGAGAGAACCGGAGAATGCTCAGAAGGAGAACCCCGAAAGCGACAAAAAATGTCAAAAGTTTGGGAACATTTTAGGCTAAACAGAAAGGACAACACAGCGCAATGCATCCACTGCAAAGCAGAATTGGCGTACCACAACAGCACAACATCAATGTTGCAGCATCTGAAGAGAAAACACCCGCTACATGAATCCAACTCGTACACGGTTGCCAACAGGTAACGTTTAAGTTCTCTTTGCTAACTACGTTGTGTGATAATCTGCCATGTTATAGATGTAAATTGAGGCACATTATTTTGCTAAAGTTACATCTAAACATAGCGGTTACTTAACCGGGTGTAGTGTAAATTGTATGTGAGGGTGGAACTGAGAGAAATTATGCAGGACTTAATGTAAGTTTGTTAATAAAAATACGCAGCAACAGATTACAGGCATAAGCTGAAAAGCATTTATTTATTGGTGTCTTTCCATCCTGAAAAGTTACAGTCTTTTCTTCTCGCTACTGTTATGTATGAATTAGAAATTTTTGATTAATATTTTTTGTAGTAATTCTATATTTGTTTATACCTAAGCAATCAAGAATAAATAATAGCATCGTTTTAATAAAAATAGCAACATTTTTGCATTTTATCATGACTAGTTAAGGCTGCAGAACTCTGTACAAACTCAAACCTTTACATTTTGAGTAAGTTTATTTTTTTCCTAACATATAGATTACATTCTGTTTTCCAATACATGAAAAAACATTTCACTGCATTTAGATTTTTCTGTGATGGTTAAGGGATGCTCAAAAAGGAGATATTGGACTGATCTGGACTAACTGGTGTTATTGCAGATTTGCCAATAGTTTTTTTTATCCGATTACTCGATTAATCGTAAGAATAATCGATAGATTACTCGATTACTAAAATATTCGTTTACAACAGCCCTAATAAGAACACTTCAGCAATTTATCTGGCATCTCAAGAAAGGGAATTTTAATGGTTGGTGGAGACCTCTATTGATTTTGAAACGTCTGTACTAATGTATATCCTCTATATGCACTAATACCTGCTTCCGATGTCTGCTTGGAATGCTTGATTTTAAATTGCAACTAAAAATGTGGTTTATAAAAGTAGCACTCCACTACCACTTAAAGACTTTCAGCCTGACCAGCAAAAACTCTGGTAAAAATGTAAAAAAAAAAAAAAATAAGATGGGGCAACAACTTATATTTCTGTAAATTCTAGAGCAAAAGCAGAGCTTCCTCTGATGAAAATATGCAAATTTTCATTAACAATAAGAATTTCTTCATCACAATTTATTTGTGCTAATAAAAAAATGAGTCATTTAACAAATAGCGGATAGTTAACAAGTTAATTATGTTGCTCAGAAATTCTAGTGACTTTATCCTCCTGACTTCACGACCTGCCTTCACCCCTCCTATTTACAGTTGGATCACCTGCTACTCTAAATGCCAGGAGCTGTTTAAAGGAAGATTTATCTAAACAAGGATGTGGGAGTGCAGAGTGTAACACAATATGGGCAAATCCTTATTAAACCCCTTCGATCTTTCAGTCTTAGATTCTTTCTAACAGTAAACAGTGTCGCAGCATGTTTAATGGGAGCTAAATGACGCTCAGTCTGAGAGGAAGGCATTTATATTATCAGTTAAATGGATTAAAAGCAAAGCCTCTATCGTGTAACTTGTCTTTTTTTTTGTGAGTGTGCGTTATAGTTTGCATTTAGGCGTGCAGTCTTCCTCAAAAGAAAATAAAAGGTGCCACACGTGCAAAAGAAAATAATTCAAAAGGAGTCCTCCGTTTAGATACAGAAACCCCAAGAATATAAGAGCGCGTAAAAACGCTTCCAGTGACTCATCCAAGAGCAGTAAGTCAAAAGCAGCCGTAGGGTTTGAGATTTCATTGCGAGGTGTGTCTGTTTTTATTAACAGCTCGCACACAGGACAGAAATGGATGCCGTAGGCGCACGAGACGCTCTGCCCTGCACGTCAGTTTCATTCAGTTAAGCCTGTATTATCATAAACATCCCAAACGCGGTGGGACTTCAACGTTTAAGACAGGGGCTGTCCTCTGACTGTGCTGCACCACGGGCGTCTACAGCAACAATATCCATAGACGCATGTTTTCAATGAAAGAGCAATAAGAGCGCGTTAATGTGCGCGCGCGCGTGCATGCGCGTAGAAGAGAAAAAAAAAAGACGCTCATCACCCATCTGGCAGGACCCACTTGTGACCGCGCTATTTGTCCCCTCTTCATCCGATCAAACAGTTGACTTGGAACCATATATGTGCGCACAAGAACAAAACATGATGCGCTCATTCACTCCACGCACACACCACGCGTCCCATACTCACCTTTCAGCACAATCCCATAAATAGTGTAGAGAGTGAAAATCAAATGACTCTTGAGGTTCATCCTGCCTGCTTCTTTGTTGCTCCTGTCTTCCACTCGAGTTTTTTCCACTCCCGTCTCCTTCCTGGACCTCTAACCGGGACAGGACGACTTCCTCAGCTTATCCAGGTGGACCTGCTGGAGCGTGTTTTTTTTTTTTTTTTCTTCCACCGGGAAAAGGGGTTAATGCAGCCCAGTCAACAATCCCTAGACTGTTTTGTTTGTGCAATAAATGTTCGCTCCTCTTAAAGAAAAGAAAAAGGAGCAATGTAGATTTTTCTCTTGGATGCACTGCTGATGAGTGCGCTCAGTTAGAGAAACTCTGGGAAATAAAAGAAAGCAATGTTAGATGGTCAGCGCTGATAAGAATGCTCCACCGGTAGCAGGATAAACGCTGCCGTTCCTGTACATCTGTCTGCACTGCTCTTGGTCTGCCGTGGCGCACGGTCCACAGCATTTGGAGCACGAGTGGATTGTTTGAGTCCCGCCCAGAGTCTTTTGACTGACGTAAAAAAAGGACCAATTGTGATGGGGATTAGGCAGGGGCTGGTGGAAGATGGGTAGAAAACTCAGACACTGTAAAAAATGTCAGTTTTGCACACATAAAAAAAAAAACCTTTACATGTTTGGGTTGAAAATTGAAATAAATTAGAGATTTGCACATTTTTGGAGTACAAAACAATGTGACAAGTTTACATCTATTTTTAATAACATTCCTTCAGCGTGGATGCGGATAATAGGAAGAGATTCTTATGGGGCCAAAATTGTTGCTTTATTACACGGAAACGTGTGTGGAGAGTTGTGTATCTGTAAAACAATCTGCAAATGTGTAAAACTACTGTGTGTGTAATATGGTTTGCAAATGTGTAAAAAAAATCCACAAACCTGTATTCAGATTTACAAATCTGTAGTAAGATTTGGAAATTTGTAGATCAATCTGAGAAATACAGACAAATCATTAGTTACAAGTCACACAGTAGTTTTACACATTTGCAGATTGTTTTACAGACACACAAATCTCCGCACACATTTAAAGTTTCATTTACACATTTTCAAATCTCACTGCACACACACAAATCAAGATACAGATACACAATTCTCCACACACATTTGCAAATAATAAAGCAACAATTTTGGCCCCATAGATTCTCACTTTGAGAGGAGTGAACCTACAGGGTAAAAAAAAAGATAAATTGATTATCCAAATGGACATTAAACTGTCCGTATGGCAATTACTTTAAATAACTACCCAGCCACAGAGGAGGGTGAGTCATCTTTTACAGTGCACTCCCCCTTTACTGTAGGATCCCATTTCAAAACAGAAAGAGCATGCAAACATGGGCAGGTGTGGCCTTTACATGATGCATATACTGAACCATATCATATCAGTTTTCTCGTTGCATATTATTGATTGAGCGATTGCGATACTATATTATACTAAATAAAAAATGTCATTTGGGCGTACCGATATTAGACATTATATTTTTACAGATTTTTCTAAAGGGGGAGTCCTTTTTGGGCTAGTTGATATGTATATTACGACTGCTAATAAAATCAGATACACCTTAGAATGATTTTAAAACAGCAAAAAGTCCACAAAAAATGTCAGAACTAGCACATGGTGGGTTTGCCTTGTCAAAAGAAAAAAATAAGTAAAATGAAATAAAAAAATCTAAATGACCAAAACATTACATAGAGAGGTTTAGTAAACATTTCACTAAGTTCCAACAATTGGCATAATTGTTGACTGTGATTTAATTTAATCCAGGAATTAATACAGCTACATCCAGTAAATGTAATGTTTATATAGTGCAGTTTTCAGGTTGTCAGACTCTAAAGCAGGGTTCTCAAACTCAAGTCCTGATATTTAGATATCTCTAGCTTTTAGATATCTCAGTGGTCCAACAAACCTCAATCAAATGGCTTAATTACCCCCTCAGCTGAAGTCAAGCTCTCCATAGTCTTGCAAAGGACCTAATTGCTTGCTTCAAATGTGTTAAAAGACAGAAGCATCTAATAGGAAACTGGTAGTCCAGAACTGGTTTCTGACATCCCTACTCTACGATGTCCTAATTCTTAAAAAGAAAGTGTTATACATGCTTTTATTGTGTATATTAATTAATATGATACGGCAACCATAACTCTTAAAATCTGTTTAACTGTAAATCAAAGCAGTTCATCTCAGGAAAGTCAGTCTTTGCTAATCTGTAATGTAATGTTGTCTAATTTGCAGGAAAAACAGTAAAATGTCCCTTCTAACAGATATTTATTGATAGTGATTTAGAGTAATTGTATCTTTTTTGTTAGTAAGTAAAAAAGTAATGCTTAAAATGCAAGCATGACTTAACCCTAAGTCATAGTCAGACATGTAAGTATAGATTAAATCTGAGGTCATATGCTAGTCAGGACACAAAACTATGGGCAGGCAAGATAATATAATCCATAAATAAACATGAAACATGAACAAATGTTGAAAGTTTGCAGAAGTTTTGAACAAAGTAAGATTGTCCAAAAAAAACAAAAAAAAACAAGAGAAAAACTATAGAACTTATACAAAGTATCAGTGAAATTGGAAGTTGAATAAAACTGAGTATTCATGTTGAAATGCTGGTGAGAAAAGATATACAAGCAGGAAGCATATCAGACTAAAATGTATGAAAGTCTAAGGCTACAAAAAAAGGGATGAGATTAATGTTGTTTGTCTCTCCCACAGCACTTTTCCTTCACCTTGATGGAAAACATTATGACACTAAGAAAAGGTGTGAAGGAGAATTATGAAGATGGAACACACAATGACGGCGCTGCACACGGCTTCTAATGGTACATAGCAACACAGCACAGTGATAGGTTCTGCCAGTGAGGCTCTGTTGTGATGAAGCTCTTATATTTTGAGTAGGAGTTGCTCACAAAGCACCTAGATGCTTTGCCCTGTGCTTTACTAACAGATTATTCTATACAGGCTACATAAAAACAAAAACGTCCTTGTGAAACCATGAAAAACAAAAAGCAGAGGAAAGCCATTGTGGTTGACATATTAAATAGACATCAGTATAAAATAAATAGAACAAAAGTCATGCATAATATTAGGGGAAATACTTAACTTCAAACCATCTGCTTTTGTGTTTTATATATTATATTACTCATAGTTTGTTGTTTGTTTTTTGCACAACAAACTCTTTGCAAAATAAAACATATAAAATAAAAAAATATATATATTCTTGGCTAAAATATGTTTAAAAGTTGCACTCTAAAAGGGCAAATGAAGATCTGTGTCACTCTTCCAGCCTGAGTCTCAGAGGCAGAGCTCCAAATTTAGCCTACCTGTCCAGAACAACATTGTTCAGAACTGTGCAGGTCAAAATGACACATTTTACTGGGCATGTACAATGGGGGTATCTTGGATCCAATGCAGTCATATCTCCGCTTCAGTTCCACTGCAGTAGAACACCACAATGGATGGAAAATGTCCTGCTGTGCAAAATGCCAGTTGAGAGAGAAGGGTTATGACTTTGGAATTTCAGACTTTCCAGTCTTATTCAGTGCTCATGATTTTGGGATAGCTGCATTGTGACAAACTGTGGAAAGTGCAATCAACTTATTGTTACTGAGTATATTTTATGCTCACAATACACTGATAGTAAAAAATATGACAATACACTTACATTTATATAACCTCAATGAATGGGTGTTAAAAAGAAGTGTTAGATTATTTTATCTAAATGCTGTTTAAACTGGAATGCTGCTGTCATTGTAAATTGTTGAACATCATTTAACTACTCTACCTCTACTAATCATAATCCTGTTTGCATTTGGTAAAACTGAAATGGAGCATACAGGGATTATGTCTTAGCATTTCAAACATTAGAACAATTTTGATTTCTTCTATTTAATTTTAGGATCATCCTCAAGATAAACTGGGTTCACCCTATTCAAATCTATGAATTTCCTTCAATTTACAGACTGTAAATGTGCTTAAGACATTTAGGTGACTGGCACTACTTATAGCAGAGGTTGGCTCTTTAATGCCCCACTTGTGGCTCTCTGTAGCTTTTTCAAAAATGTATGAAGATCATTTTTTGTTTGTTTGTTTTAATATGGTGTGCAGGAGTTCAAACAAACATTCATTGGGTTTTCCAATGCTGTAAAAATGTGTATAATAAATACATTTAAACTATAAATGCAAACATTTCTGGCAAGGAGGATTTGTGTCATAACCTGAAACACACGTCTCAGCATGGCACGGTGCCAGGCAGGTGGCTGTTGGAAACAAAGCGTCGGGTGTGTCTCAGGCCATGAATCCCAAAGGGAAAAAAAAGAAAGATAGCTGATGAGAACAGAGGATTCAAAGAAGAATGGACTGAATCATTTGCTTTCATTACCAATGTGGAAGGATTGCCTGCATGTTTGCTTTGTAAAAATAAGCTGTCCAATAATAAAAAGAGTAATTTGGAAAGGCATTTCCAGGGAAGGGATGTTAAACATGCAGCCAGCAACCAAGTTAGGAGTGAGAGAAAAAGTACGACTGCATTACTTCATAAATTAGAGGAGAGCAACGATAGATTTAAGAAGTGGTTTGCTTCTCCAAACTCCTCTACTCCTTCTAGTTTTGTTGCAAGCATGGAAAACCGTTCGAACAAAAAAAAAACACCAAAAATATATTTTCTTTATTGGTTTTCTATAATTTCATCAATGCAACAAAACTTAATACATTAATATTTTGATGAAATTTAATATTAAAGCACCAAATATCTTCACATGATCTGATATTTGCTCCAGGATAAACATTTAATCATGAATACTTATTATATATTTAAGCCCACGTAGTCCTTTTTTATAGTGGGCTAATTCACTCAGAGCCAATGTTACCATACGAGGCTTATACAAGACTTTTACATTTTTGTGGCTCGAGGCAGATTTTTCACTCCAATATCACTCTGAATAGTTTGGATTGCCGACCTCTGACCTATAGTGTCCACCTGATGTTTATTTGTTTTTTTAAGTCGCGTAGCCTATCAGACAGAAAAGAGAATAATCAGTTTGTTGTACTTTGGTTGCAATCATAGGCAGAAACATCAAAGATTGGCTCTATAAACAGAAAAGCAAGTTCTGATTTGAAAGATTTTTTTTTAAAGTGTTTAGTGTAGTAAAGCTTTAGCCATAGAGACTCTTGCTTACAGGGCCTTTGTACATTTTCTAGGGTATGTTTAGAGGATAAAGAGCTTACAAAACTACAACAGAGAGCTTTGTAATGTACATATAAATGAATGTCATAATACTCTAACAGGAAATATCAGAGGCTGGGTAATCAGTGGCTTTATACAACAGTAAGGATTAATAAAGTGTTTTTTTTTTTAAATCATCATCTGCTGTGACTGAAAAACAATCTCTGTTATGGATTGCATTTTTTATGGAGTATTTTGACACTTATATACCGTATTACAGTATGTTTGTTCACTCAATATACATTATG